CTGCTTCACCCCTGGTGAGGCACTGCTGGTATTGGGTGGCATTAGCTTTGTCCTCAACCAGCTCATCAAGCGCTCTCTGACACTGGTGGAAAGTCAGGGGGACCCAGTGGACTTCTTCCTGCTGGTGGTGGTAGTAGGGATGGTACTCATGGGCATCTTCTTCAGCACTCTCTTTGTCTTCATGGACTCAGGCACCTGGGCCTCCTCCATCTTCTTCCACCTCATGACCTGTGTGCTGAGCCTTGGTGTGGTCCTACCCTGGCTGCACCGGCTCATCCGCAGGAATCCCCTGCTCTGGCTTCTTCAGTTCCTCTTCCAGACAGACACCCGTATCTACCTCCTAGCCTATTGGTCTCTGCTGGCCACCTTGGCCTGCCTGGTGGTGCTGTACCAGAATGCCAAGCGGTCATCTTCTGAGTCCAAGAAGCACCAGGCCCCCACCATCGCCCGAAAGTATTTCCACCTCATTGTGGTAGCCACCTACATCCCAGGTATCATCTTTGACCGGCCACTGCTCTATGTAGCTGCCACTGTATGTCTGGCGGTCTTCATCTTCCTGGAGTATGTGCGCTACTTCCGCATCAAGCCCTTGGGTCACACCCTGCGAAGCCTCCTGTCCCTTTTTCTGGATGAACGAGACAGTGGACCACTCATTCTGACACACATCTACCTGCTCCTGGGCATGTCTCTTCCCATCTGGCTGATCCCCAGACCCTGCACACAGAAGGGTAGCCTGGGGGGAGCCAGGGCCCTCGTCCCCTATGCCGGTGTCCTGGCTGTGGGTGTGGGTGATACTGTGGCCTCCATCTTTGGTAGCACCATGGGGGAGATCCGCTGGCCTGGAACCAAAAAGACTTTTGAGGGGACCATGACATCTATATTTGCGCAGATCATTTCCGTAGCTCTGATCTTAATCTTTGACAGTGGAGTGGACCTAAACTACAGTTACGCTTGGATTTTGGGGTCCATCAGCACTGTGTCCCTCCTGGAAGCATACACTACACAGATAGACAATCTCCTTCTGCCTCTCTACCTCCTGATATTGCTGATGGCCTAGCTGTTACAGTGCAGCAGCAGTGACAGAGGAAACACATGGGGAGGGCGAACAGTCCCCACAGCAGACAGCTACTTGGGCGTGAAGAGCCACGGTGTGAAAAGCAGATTTGATTTTTCAGTTGATTCAGATTTAAAATAAAAATCAAAGCTCTCCTAGTTCTAGTTTTGCTGATACTTATTTTTTATTTATTTATTTTTTTTGAGATAGTTTTGCTCTTGTTGCCCAGGTTGAAGTGCAGTGGTGTGATCTCGGCTCACCAATCTCCGCCTCCCAGGTTCAAGCGATTCTCCTGCCTCACCTTCCCTAGTAGCTGGGATTACAGGCATGTGCCACCACGCACTAATTTTGTATTTTTAATAGAGACAGGGTTTCTCCATGTTGGTCAGGCTGGTCTCGAACTCCCAACCTCAGGTGGTCCGCCCACCTCGGCCTCCCAAAGTGCTGGGATTACAGGTGTGAGCCACCGTCCCAGCCTTGCTGATACTTAAAATGAAAAGAGTCTTAAGGGATAATCCAGCAACTCAAAGAACCTGAGTGTGCTGTAGAGGCCCCCCCTCTTTCACCCTGCAGCCTCGGAGGAGGCCAGAGTGGATGCTGGAGGGAGTAAAGCATAATGGTTAACACTTTAGTCTCTGGGTCAAACTAATCTGGTCAGAATCCTTGGCTGCACAGCTTATTAACTTTGTGACCTTGGATGGCCGGGCGCAGTGGCTCATGCCTGTAATCCCAGCACTCTGAGAGGCTGAGGCAGGCGGATCACCTGAGGTCAGGAGTTCGAGACCAGCCTGACCAACATGGAGAAACCCCGTCTCTACTAAAAATACAAAATTAGCCAGGCGTGGTGGCACATGCCTGTAATCCCAGCTACTAGGGAGGCTGAGGCAGGAGAATCGCCTGAACCCGGGAGGTGGAGGTTGCGGTGAGTGGAGATCGCTCTACTGCCCTCTAGTCTGGGCAACAAGAGTGAAACTCCGTCTCAAAAAAAAACAACTTTGTGACTTTGGGTGAGTCACTTAGCCAGGCTGAACCTCAATTATCTTGCAGATGGGAGTAATGACAGCCCACACCTCAAAGGGTGTTGTGAGGGTCCAGCCTAGAGCCCACCCTTGGAAAGCAGTCAGGGCCGGGCTCGGTGGCTCAAGCCTGTAATCCCAGCACTTTGGGAGGCCGAGACGGGCGGATCACGAGGTCAGGAGATTGAGACCATCCTGGCTAACACGGTGAAACCCCATCTCTACTAAAAAATACAAAAAAAAACTAGCCGGGCGAGGTGGCGGGCGCCTGTAGTCCCAGCTACTCGGGAGGCTGAGGCAGGAGAATGGCGTAAACCCAGGAGGCGGAGCTTGCAGAGAGCCAAGATCCGGCCACTGCACTCCAGCCTGGGCAACAGAGCGAGACTCCATCTCAAAAAAACAAAAAAAAAAGAAAAGCAGTCAGAAAGGGAAAGAGTCATTTTTACCAAAGACCAGTCCTCATCTTAGCGAAAAGCCGAAAAGCTGGGCAAACCATTTCAAAACCAGAGTGACCTTTGCTCTCCTGACTTCACTTGGAGGCGGAGAACTCCTCAGGGAAAGAGCCGAGGGCTAGGAATTACTGAAGGGAGAGGTGGGTCAACTTTGGCGGGGTTGAAGGAGGATCAGATCCTGCTTGGGCTGAATCTTGTATTAGCCAACCCCACCCAGCCTCTGGTGTCCCGCTGAGCGGTGCCCATAGAGAAAGATGGGCTGAATAGCACCAGGACCTCATCAAGGGGTCCTTCCTAAGACCCTTCCACATTCTAGTCACGTCCAAACCTGTGTGTGTTTCTTCCCAAGGTAGGAAAGATCCACAGGGGCTGGGGGAGTTTCCTGAGAGGTAAAATGACTCTATGAGAGGCCCACGCACCAGCCTTGATCTCTGGGAGGACAGGCTCCAGGACTGCCTCATTCCCCACCCCATCCCCCAAGGCTAGCACGGGGGGCTGACGAGGAGCAGGAAATCAGTAGATTTGGGAGTCCATCTGCACTGTGTCCCTCCCGGAAGTGTACACTACACAGACAGTGAATGCATAAACATTTTCCGTCACTAGGAAGATAGCACAGCAAGATTCCTGAGACTGGACAAGGTTCTCCCTTTCTCCGCCAGCTTAGGGAGGACGTCAGAGGAGGTGAGAGCTTTGGTCCACCAAGGCCAGAAGCCAGGAGCAGAGCTCCAGGGAGCCGAAGCTTCTGCTTGAGAATCACTGCCATGTCCTTTCCCTCAGAGGAGAGTATTGAGACATTCCTTTGGGACTCAACAGAGACGCTTCCCTTCTCTCAGGCTCCCTCCTATTATTTGCAAAAAGAGGCAGCAATATGTTGGTAAAAGAGCACCAGCTTTGCCCCAGGGACTCCCAGGGTGGCCTTGGGAAAGGACTCTACCCTCTGGGCCTTGGGTTTTCTATGTATATAGTTGGGGGATAGGCTACATCAGGGTCACAAACTCAAATGAACGCAGTGAACGACAACAGGGGACCACACCGAGCCTCTAAGGGAGCTCCAGCCAGTAGCCACCATGCTAGAGTGTAGGCCCTATGTTGTCAATTGCATGCTCATTCAAGGAAGCTTAGGAACCTGGATAGTTATGTGAAATCTTCAGGTTTTTTCTTAAATGCTGAGGCCTGGCCAGGCGCGGTGGCTCACACCTGTAATCCCAGCACTTTGGGAGGCTGAGGCGGGTGGATCACTACGTCAGAAGTTCAAGACCAGACTGGCCAAGATGGTGAAACCCTGTCTCTACTAAAAATACAAAAATTAGCCGGGTGTGGTGGCGGGCCCCTGTAATCCCAGCTACTCAGGACACTGAGGCAGAGAATTGCTTGAACCCAGGAGGCAGAGGTTGCAGTGAGTTGAGATCATGCCACTGCACTGCAGCCTGGGTGACAGAGCGAGACTCTGTCTCAAAAAAAAAAAAAAAAAGAAAAGTGCTGAGGCCCAGAAAAAATGCATCTGTGGGCTGGAATCAGGCTGTGGTCCCCAGTTTGTAGCCTATGGGCCAAACCTCAGCTGAGGAGGTTTTAGATTTGGTAGTTGTTCTGAAGGTCTGAGTGCCTGCCAAGCATGCCCAAACAGGAAGGGCCCCTGAAAGCCCTAGTCTGGCCCCCTTACTGGACACGGGAGGAAACAAGCCCAGAGGAAGGAAAGGCCCTGGCCTGAGACCAGGGAGCAAGTAGCTCACAGAGCCAGGACCAGAACCTGGAACTCTGGATTCCTAGCTCTGGGCATCTCTGCTCCCCAAGAAGGGAAGATGAGGCAGTGTCAAGGTTAGGAGCACAGGCTCTGCATGAGGCTGAGCCTGCTGAAGAACCGAGCCGCTGTGACTTGGGCAGGTCATTTACCCCCTCCTCGGCTCAGCGTCTTCTTCTGTAAGTACAGATGATAATGGCACTTACCTCTCCTAGTGAGGATTCCATGAGATAAAGCCTGTGAAGGTCTCAGCACAGAGCAGGGCACACAGTGAGTGCCCACTAAATGTTACTTATTAAAATCATGCAAGCCACGCCAAACAGGGCTGGGGTACCTGGGATGCATTTTAGCATCTTGTCTGGAAAGCTTTTTTTTTTTTTTTTTTTTTTTTTTGAGATGGAGTTTCGCTCTTGTTGCCCAGGCTGGAGTGCAGTGGCGTGATCTCGGCTCACCGCAACCTCCACCTCCCGGGTTCAAGCTATTCTCCTGCCTCAGCCTCCCGAGTAGCTAGGTTTACAGGCATGCGCCACCACGCCTGGCTAATTTTTTGTATTTTTTGTAGAGACAGGGTTTCTCTATGTTGGTCAAACTGATCTCAAACTCCCGACCCCAGGTGATCCGCCCGCCTCGGCCTCCCAAAGTGCTGGGATTACAGGCGTGAGCCACTGCACCTGGCCTGGAAAGCAGTTTTCTTGTCTGGAAAGCAATGCTGCTTAGGAAAGAAGGCTGAGTCAGGAAGCTGCATTCTGAAGTCATTTTTATTCAATAACTAACACCATAATAACCAGAGTTCCATCTGAGAGGAGAGGAAAGTGAGAAGGGGCCAGAACCCTTTGATGGCTGAGAAGCCTCCTCAAGGCTATGGTGGGGCAGTAGGGAGGCAGACAGATGAAGATCTTAGGGAAGCTCCTGACCCAGCCCAGGCTGCTGCCCACAGGGCGGGAGGAAAGCCCAGGAGGGGAGACAAGACCTCCCTGTTGCAACCAAGAGGCTGAGCAAGACACTGGTGTTTGCAGCCCACAGCTTCACCCGGGAGGGGCCAGGGCTCCTGCCCTGTGAAAGCCTTTAGGTGTACAGTGGGGGAAAGGGCAGTTCAGCTGTTGGCTGGAGCCTGCAGAAGATAGAGGAGATAACCTTGAGGTGCAGGGTCACTGCTCCCAGCCTCCAGGGGACTGTCGGGCGCACACACCCACCATCACCTACCAGTTCTCTGGGCTCCAGGTGGTACCAGAGGCCTCCATGAGGTGGAAAGTGTAGGCCTGGCGCGAGTGATCAGAGAGGTTCTGCTTGCTCTTGTGCACCACTTCTCCATGGATGAGGACCAGGGCCCCTGACAGAGACACAAGCAGGTCAGGATCCCACCAGCCCCACATCCCCCCTCCCCAGGGCAGGAAGGGACATGGGCCCTCCTCCCTCCAGCGGTTTTATGGCCCCCATCCATCCCCATTCCCTTCCCTGAAAGCTCAGGCACCTGCAGCCTCCCACAGGGTCGGAAGCTAAGCTGCTGAGATGCGAGCTCCTCTGGGATCGAGTCCCCTCTGCTGTGGACTGTGGCCTTGGCAAGCCTTAGGAAGGGCCTGCCCTCCTGAGGTCTTTGCAGGATCAGGCAGAAGCCCTCTGCACTGTGCCAGTCCACTGGGACCTCTCCGGTGATGCTGAGTTACACATTGGTTTTCCCTTTTCATAAGAGAAAGGACCTGCCCAACAGCCGACATTGGTTGAGCAGTGGCCATGCACTAGGCAGACTCTGTATCCACGTATTTATCATCTCACTGACTTCCCACTTCACGTTTGGGGAAATTCAGGCTCAGGGAGTCGGTCATTTGCCCAGAGAAACAGCCTATAAGTAGCCGAGTGTGGATTCTAGCGTGATCTGGGTCAGCTTGCAGGAAAACATGCTGCTTCCTGACTTCCCAGCCCCCATCCAGCCCTCCTCTTTCTGTGACTTCACTGCCCTCAGATGACCCCGAGGGCAACCTCTTGGATGTTGAGTAGTCGAGCAGGCACAGACTGATGGACTCAGCCCCCTGCCTCTCTGCCCTCTGCATCTGCCTACCTCTCTGCACTGGGGTGGGCACAAAGAGGCTGTTATCCCGGGCTGGCTCTGACCCGAGGAAGCTGGTGCCAGGCACTGAGCCAACAGGGGCCCGGACCATCCTTCTTGACACGCCACCTGCAGGCCAAGATGGAGAGCCTTAAACTCCTTCTTTCTCAGGGTCCCTCTCCCTAGGGGGTGGGGAGTCCCAAGTGGGCAGAAGAGACAGGGTTCCTCACTGGTGTGGGAGCCAGGGATGAACCAGAGACAGCCGTTCTCCAGCGTGGCGTCCTCCACTGCGATCCACACGCCCAGCACCCGGCCCAGGGGCTCCGTGTACAGGAAGGAGGCGTCCTGATGAGGGGAGACTACAGCAGGCCCACAGGGAGTGAGAAGCCCATCCTTTTGCCTGGTCCCACCTCACCTTGGCCTCATTACCCACTCCTCCATCCTCTGGGTGCTCTTCAGGGCCAGCCTTCCCACGATTGATCAGAATCTCATCACTTCCTGGCCCAGGACTCTAAGGCAAAGCGATTTCACCTCTCAAAGCTTCAACTTCCTAAACTGTAAAGTGGCTCCAACAACAACCTACCTCACAGGGTGCTGGAGGATTCTATGAGATGATGTATGAAAAGTGCTTAGGGCCCAACCATGTAACTGCTTGATATAGAGTAGCACTATTGTTTAATTCCAGTGAGATAACTCAAGCCTGACCTTAGGTGATCTCCCCCCTCGGCCTCCCAAAGTGCTGGGATTAAAGGCGTGAACCACTGCTCCTGGCCAGCATCCACGTTTTTAAAAACCTCCCCCCACGATGCTGGGGCACAGTTAGGATGCGGAACCACCGAACAAAGGAACATGCTCCTCAACAACAGAATAAACAGGCTCCTGTCTCACCTTCTTCCTTCCCGGACAACTGCGTGTTTTCTGAACACCAAACTTTAAGACAGACCTCCAAAGGAGCGTTTGAAATGGAAGGGGCTTTGAAACATTTGGGAGAGGAATGGTGGAAGCAACTGGAAGAGCTGGACTCAGGCAGAGAAGGCTAGGGGTGGGGATGGTCATCCCTTTGGGGAACTGCATACAGAAGGGGGTGGTCACAAGGAGGCCAACTTGGGCTCATGCAAGGAAGGAAAGGGCTTCCTGAGAGGGCGTGAGCTCCCTGTCACCAGAGGTATTTGAACAGAAGTGGATAATCACCTACCAGGGAGGCTGTAAAGGGTGACTGCATGGGGTAGGGTGTGGAACTAGATCAGCAATTTTCCTGGAGTCCTCCTCCAGGAAACTTGTTAGAAACACAGATTCCAGGGCTGGGCGTGGTGGCTCATCCCTGTAATCCTAGCATTTTGGGAGACTGAGGCAGGTGGATCACCTGAGGTCAGGAGTTCGAGACCAGCCTGGCCAACATGGTGGACCCCCGTCTCTATTAAAAATACAAAAAAATAGCTAGGCGTGGTGGTGGACACCTGTAATCCCAGCTACTCGGGAGGCTGAGGCAGGAGAATCACTTGAACTGGAGAGGCAGAAGTTGTAGTGAGCCGAGATTGTGCCATTGCATTCTAGCTTGGGTGACAAGAATGAAAATCTGTCTCAAAAAAAAAAAAAAAAAAATGGATTCCCAGGCCCATGCAGCCCTACTGGCTCAAGATCTGAGACTAGGGCCCAGGAATCTGTATTTTTGTTTGTTTGGTTTGGTTTGGTGTTTTTGTTTGTTTGTTTTTGAGACAGAGTCTCACTCTGTCGCCCAGTCTGGAGTGCAGTGGTGTAATCTCAGCTCACTGCAACCTCTGCCTCTGGGTTGAAGCGATTCTCCTGCCTCAGCCTCCTGAGTAGCTAGGACTACAGGTGTGCGCTACTACACCCACCTAATTTTTCTATTTTTAGTAGAGATGGGGTTTCAACATGTTGGCCAGGCTTGTCTCAAATTCCTGACCTCAGGTGATCCGCCCACCTCTGCCTCCCAAAGTGCTGGATTACAGGCGTAAGCCACCACGCCTGGCCTAGGAAATCAGTATTTTTAACTAGCTGGGGTTGGTGGCAGGTTCAGGACCCACTATGCCAAAGACACAAGGTTTCCCTCCCAATCCGCTTTCAGAGGAAGGAATGGAAGGCGGCTCCTCCTCTCCGGCCCAGGCTCCTACAGCAGACAGGAGCAAGCGCTTTCCCTCCTTCTAAAGATCTGAGAACCACTGCAGTCTTAGATGTCCCACCCATGGCCTTTTCACGGGCCCACGGCTCTCAGCTCACCTTCACCGCCAAAGTGAGGTTGCTGCAAGAGAGAGGAAAAGCCTGGTGAGGACAGAGGAGAGCAGAGAGGAGCTGGGCTTGCTGTGAGAGTCGCAGGATGCTGCTGCCCTGGCCACAGGCATTTTCCTCTCAGGATTCCACCTCAACACCCAGCTACTGAGCAGCTATCATGTGCCAGCCCCAGGAGGGATGCAAAGAGAAAATCCCCCCTGCCCAACAAGCTCCTAGCATGTGCAAGCATACACATGCCTAACAAGATCACAAAGCAGAGCGGGGCAACGACTGGAGGGAAAGGCTAGGACGCAGGCCAGCAGTTGAGCCTTCCAGCCCCAGAGTCAGACGGGTCCTTCTTTTCTCAGGTGTTCTGGAAGGCTTCTTAAAGGAGGTAGCACTGAGCTGAGCCTTGAAAGCTGCGAGCACAGCATTTCAATTGCCAAAGAAGGGAGGAGGGAGGTCGAGGGAGGCCTAGGGATGACCCTCCCTCCTACCACCAAATTTTTTTTGTGTCTTTTTTTTTTTCTTCCTTTTTGTGGAGAACGGGGTCTCGCTATATGGCCCAGGCAGGTCTCGAACTCCTGGACTCAAGCTATCCTCCCACCTCTGCCTCCCTGAGAGCTGGGATTACAGGTGTGAGCCACCACGCCTGGCCAAATTTTTTTTTTTTTTTTTTTTGAGACGGAGCCTTGCTCTGTCACCCAGGCTGTAGTGCATTGGCGTGGTCTCCACTCACTGTAACCTCCACTTCCTGGGTTCAAGTAATTCTCCTGCCTCAGCCTCCTAAGTACCTGGGACTACAGTTGTGTGCCACCATGCCTGGCTAATTTTTGTATTTTTAGTAGAGAGAGGGTTTCTCCATGTTGGCCAGGCTAATCTCGAACTCCTGACTTCAAGTGATCTGCCCGCTTCAGCCTCCCAAAGTGCTGGGATTACAGGCATGAGCCAGCACGCCCAGCCCCTACCACCAAATTTTAACAGCATCAACTAAGTTCCAGGTGCTTTAGCCAGAGGAGACCGATTTTCCATGTTCTCCCACCAACATAATAATTCCAGCAACTTTTGGCCCATTGTATGGAAGGGTTTGGTATGAGCAGTCTGCCCATTTTACAGATGGTAAACTGAGGCCAGGACAAGGAGCTCACCTTAAAGATGTACATGCTCTGCACCACCACGGGCATCTGGAGGCCCAGACTTCTGGCCAAGGTCTGGAGGGGGGCAAAGGTCATGCTGCCAGCCTGCCACACATGGCCCAGCCTCCTGGCCCTCACCCCCACCTCTGCTCACCTGCACCTTGGGGGAGTGCGTGATGCTCTTGAAGACAGGGTCGTGGGCGTGCAGAGCTGCGGGACAGAAGGAGGCTGTCAGTGCCATCTCAGGCCCACGTGTCCCTCCACACCCAGCTCTGGGCACCCACACTCAGGCTCACTTTGACATTCTCACCTGTTTTGTATGCATTAACCCTTCTGCCTGTTTACAACTGAGTAATGGGCTCCACGGGAGCCTTCCCCCCACCCCAGGCCCTATGCCACCCATGCCCTTATTCTTGACCTTCTGGCCATCTGGGAAGCTCAGTCCAGCCCCAGATGCCCACCCCTCACAGATGACTAAGGGCTCCTTGGCGCCAATCATGTGCAGCAATCTCGGTGCCACCATTTGCTCTGTGTGACCTTGGGTAACCATTTCTCTCCTGCGAGCCTCAGTTTCCTCTTCTGTCAAATGAGGATTAGAAGCACCTGGGAGGCAGGGCTGCTGTGGGACTCAATGGGCTAATGAATGTGCAGGGACAGCCCAGGGCCTGGCATGGGATAGTCCCTCATTGTCATAAACATAAGATTGAATGCATTTAATGCCACTGAGCTACGTACTTTTTTTTTTTTTGAGATGGAGTCTCGCTCTGTCACCCAGGTTGGAGTGCAGTGGTACAATCTCAGCTCACTGCAACCCTCACCTCCTGGATTCAAGCAATTCTCCTGCCTCTGCCTCCTAAGCAGCTGGGACTACAGGCGTGCGCCACCATTCCCAGCTAATTATTGTATTTTTAGTAGAGATAGGGTTTCACTATATTGGCCAGGCTGGTCTCAAACTCCTGACCTTGCGATCCACCTGCCTTGGCCTCCCAAAGTGCTGGGATTACAGACGTGAGCCACTGTGCCCGACTGAGTTACATACTTTAAAGGGGTTATCATGGTATGGTAAATCTTACATGTATTTTACCACAACTTGTCTACAAGCCTACCATGATATAACTTCAGGTTTAACAATAAGCTTTCCAGGCCAAGTACAGTAGCTTATGCCTATAATCCCAGCATTTTGGGAGGCCAAGGCAGGAGGACCACTTGAGCCTCGACTAGCCTAGGCAACATAACGAGACCTCATCTCAATTTTATTTTACAAAATAAATAAGCATTCTACAACATAAATTATAATGTATGATCCTAAAGAAAGAAAATGAGGGTTTTCTTACTTGACTTTGGGGTGTCAGAATAGGGACCCTGTCAGCAGGTCAGATGCCCCTTAGGGTGGCTCCAGGGAGCACTGGACCCAGGAGCTCCCCCAGGCCAGGCAGTAGAGAGTGGAAGAGCCTGCACATGCCCATCTGTTGGGGGGAATCAGGTGACCCCCTATCCCCAGTGCTGTGGCAGCAGTATCATGATTAGCAGAGGGGCCGAAGACCAGAGGGGAGCCTGCAGCCACAAATGCCATTCACCCAACCACTAACTTACCATGGGCTTTCTTTTTTTCTTTTTTCTTTTTTTTTTTTTTGAGACAGAGTTTTACTCTTGTTGCCCAGGCTAGAGTGCAATGGTGTGATATCGGCTCGCTGCAACCTCCACCTCCCGGGTTCAAGCTATTTTCCCGCCTCAGCCTCCCGAGTAGCTGGGATTAGAGGCATGTGCCACCATGTTCGGCTAATTTTGTATTTTTAGTAGAGATGGGGTTTCTCCATGTTGGTCAGGCTGGTTTTGAACTCCCGACCTCAGGTTATCTGCCCACCTTGGCCTCCCAAAGTGCTGGGATTACAGGCGTGAGCCACCAAGCCCAGCCACTGTGGGCTTTCATTAAGGCTCCTAAGTTCTTCAGGCTTCAGTTTCCCCATTCTTTTTTTTTTTTGAACAGGGTCTCACTGTCTCTGTCACCCAGTCAAGCTGGAGTGCAATGGCACGATCTCGGCTCACTGCAACATCCGCCTCCCCAGTTCAAGTGATTCTCCTGCCTCAGCCTCCTGAGTAGCTGGGACTACAGGTGTGCGCCACCACAGTCACCTAATTTTTTCTATGTTGGCCAGGCTGGTCTTGAACGCCTGACCTCAAGTGATCCACCCACCTTGACTTCTCAAAGTATGTGTTAGGATTACAAGTGTGAGCCACCACTCCCAGCCAGTTCGCCAGTTCCCCCATCTTCTTTCCTCCACCCCCAAACCCCTGCTCACCGTGGCCAATTTTGTTGACGGATTTCTCCGGAGGGACCAGGAAATTTCCTGCGGCACAAAGAACAGATAAAGGCAGAGAACTGGTGTCTAGCCTTCCATGGGCAGCTGGCCTCAGCACTCTTCCATCCCTGGGAGCAGATCCCCGAGTCCGGCCTACCCTCACCATGGCTCCTGCCCAGCTCTAGGGCCCCAGCTCCAAACCTTTCTCGTCAAAAACGCCTTTCTCAAAGAAGAATCGAATCTTGTCACCACTGCTCAAGAAATAGTCTGTGCTGCCCTGTGGAAAGGGGACATCAGAGGACTGAGATAGCATCCCAGGGTCAGAGCTGGGCCTGGCAAAGAGGGAGGTGGATTCAGAAACTTCCTACCGCGACAGGGTTACAGACCCCCTGGGGGCTTCTCAAACTTGTCCACTATGGCACAGACAGTGAGCCGGAACTTCAAGTGCCTGGAAGCACACCCCAAAGATGCAAACACGGAACTTCTTGGGAACCTCACTATACCATGATTCAGAACATGGATGCTAGAGTGGTACAGGGCTGGTTCCCTGGTAGCCTTGGGCCCCTGGTTTTATGTCACCAAGACTTGATTTTCTCATCTGTAAAAAAGGAATAATAATGGCCGGGCTTAAGGACTCACACCTGTAATCCCAGCACTTTGGGAGGTTTGGTAGCAGATCACTTGAGGCCAGGAGTCCGAGACCAGCCTGGCCAACATGGTGAAACTTAGTCTCTACTAAAAATACGAAAATTAGCTGGGCATGGTGGGCACCTGTAGTCCCAGGTACTCAGGAGGCTGAGGCAGGAGAATCGCTTGAACCTGGGAGGCAGAGGTTGCAGTGAGCCGAGATTGCACTATGGCACTCCAACCTGGGCGACAGAGTGAAACTCTGTCTCAAAAAAAACAGAAGGCTGGGCTCAGTGGCTCACGCCTGTAATCCTAGCACTTTGGGAGGCCAAGGCGGACGGATCACGAGGTCAGGAGATCGAGACCATCCTGGCTAACACCGATGAAACCCCGTCTCTACTAAAAAAATACAAAAAATTAGCCGGGCACAGTGGCGGGCACCTGTAGTCCCAGCTACTTGGCAGGCTGAAGCAGGAGAATGGCGTGAACCTAGGAGGCAGAGCTTTCAGTGAGCCGAGATCGGGCCACTGCACTCCAGCCTGGGTGACAGAGCAAGACTCTGTCTCAAAAAAAAAAAAAAAAGGTAATAATAATACAACTGACCAGGTGTGGTGGCTCATGCCTATAATCCCAGTACTTTGGGAGGCTGAGGCAGGCGGATCATCTGAGGTCAGGGGTTCAAGACCAGCCTGACCTACGTGGAGAAACCCCGTATCTACTAAAAATACAAAATTAGCCGGGCATGGTGGCGCATGCCTGTAATCCCAGCTACTCGGGAGGCTGAGGTAGGAGAATAGCTTGAACCTGGGAGGCGGAAGTTGCGGTGAGCCGAGATTGCACCATTGCACTCCACCCTGGGCAACGAGAACAAAATTCCGTCTCAGGAAAAATAAAAATAAAAATAAAAATACAAAAAATTAGCCAGGTGTGGTGGCAGGCACCTGTAATCCCAGCTACTCGGGAGGCTGAGGCAGGAGAATCGCTTGAACCCGGGAGGTGGAGGTTGCAGTGAGCTGAGATCGCACCATTGCACTCCAGCCCAGGTGACAGCGTGAGACTCCATCTCAAAAAAATTTTTAAAAGTAAATAATAGGCTGGGCACGGTGGCTCAAGCCTGTAATCCCAGCACTTTGGGAGGCTAAGACGGGTGGATCACGAGGTCAGGAGATTGAGACCATCCTGGCTAACACGGTGAAACCCCATCTCTACTAAAAAATACAAAACATTAGCTGGGCGTGGTGGCGGGCACCTGTAGTCCCAGCTACTCGGGAGGCTGAGGCAGGAGAATGGCGTGAACCGGGGAGCGAGAGCTTGCAGTGAGCCGAGATTGTGCCACTGCACTCCAGCCTAGGCAACAGAGTGAGACTCCGTCTCAAAAAAAAAAAAAAAAAAAAAAAATAGGCCAGGCGCGGTGGCTCAAGCCTGTAATCCTAGCACTTTGGGAGGCCGAGACGGGCGGATCACGAGGTCAGGAGATCAAGACCATCCTGGCTAACACGGTGAAACCCCGTCTCTACTAAAAAATACAAAAAACTAGCTGGGCGAGGTGGCGGGCGCCTGTAGTCCCAGTTACTCGGGAGGCTGAGGCAGGAGAATGGCATATACCTGGGAGGTGTGTTTGTAGTGAGCTGAGATCTGGCCACTGCGCTCCAGCCTGGGCGACAGAGTGAGACTCCGTCTCAAAAATAAAAATAAAAATAAATAATAATAATAGAACTGACCTCCTCAGGCCGGGTGTGGTGGCTCATGCCTGTAATCCCAGCACTCTGGGAGGCTGAGGCAGGCAGATCACCTGAGGTCAGGAGTTTGAGACCAGCCTGACCAGTATGACGAGATCCCATCTCTACTAAAAATACAAAAATTAGCCAGGCGTGGTGGCATGCACCTGTAATCCAAGCTATTCGGGAGGCTGAGACGGAAGAATTGCTTGAACCTGGGAGGCAGAGGTTGCAATGAGCCAAGTTCGCACCATTACACTCCAGCCTGGACAACAAGAGCAAAATTCCATCTCAAAAAAAAAAAGAAGAAGAAGAAGAAGAAGAAGAAGAAGAAGAAGAAAGAAGAAGAAGAAGAAGAAGAAAGAAGAAGAAGAAGAAGAAGAAAGAAGAAGAAGAAGAAGAAGAAAGAAGAAGAAGAAGGAAGAAGAAGAAGAAGAAGAAGGAAGAAGAAGAAGAAGAAGGAAGAAGAAGAAGAAGAAGAAGGAAGAAGAAGAAGAAGAAGAAGGAAGAAGAAGAAGAAGAAGAAGGAAGAAGAAGAAGAAGAAGAAGGAAGAAGAAGAAGAAGAAGAAGGAAGAAGAAGAAGAAGGAAGAAGAAGAAGAAGAAGAAGGAAGAAGAAGAAGAAGAAGAAGAAGAAGAAGAAGAAGAAGAAGAAAGAAGAAAGAAGAAAGAAGAAAGAAGAAAGAAGAAAGAAGAAAGAAGAAAGAAGAAAGAAGAAAGAAGAAAGAAGAAAGAAGAAGAAGAAGAAGAAAGGCTGGGTGCGGTGGCTCACACCTGTAATCCCAGCACTTTGGGAGGCCAAGGCGGGTGGATCACGAGGTCAGGAGATCGAGATCATCCTGGCTAACACAGTGAAACCCCGTCTCTACTAAACAAAATACAAAAAATTAGCCAGGTGTGGTGGTGGGTGCCTGTAGTCCCAGCTACTCTGGAGGCTGAGGCAGGAGAATGGTGTGAACCTGGGAGGCGGAGCTTGCAGTGAGCCGAGATCACACCACTGCACTCCAGCCCAGACGACAGATCGAGACTCCATCTCAAAAAACAAGGAAGGAAGGGAGGGAGGGTGGGACGGAAAAAACTGACCTCCTCAATTCTTGGAGGCTTCAGCCAGAGGCTAAATCTTACAGCAGTTAGAACACAGATTCTGGAGCTGAAATCCTTGGGTTTAAATCCTGGCTCTAGGCTGGGTGCCGTGGCTCAGGCTTGTAATCCTAGCACTTTGGGAGGCCAAGGCGGGTGGATTACCTGAAGTCAGGAGTTCGAGACCAGCCTGGCCAACATGGCAAAACCATGTCTCTACTAAAAATACAAAAATTAGCAGGGCGTGTTGGCACACACCTGTAATCCCAGCTACTTGGGAGGCTGAGGAAGAAGAATCACCTGAATCCGGGAGGTGGAGGTTGCAGAGAGCCGAGATCATGCCACTGCACTCCAGCCCACGTGACAGGAGCGAGAATCCATCTCACAACAAACAAAACAAAAAAATTCTGGCTCTATTGCAGTGGTCTGGAACCAAACCTGGAATATCTCTGAGACATGCCTGTACGTGTGTTATCTCACTGAGCTTTGGGTTTTCAAAGAGGTAGGGTCTGCTATAATCCCCATTTTATAGAAGAAATTGAGGTGCCTTTTTTTTTTTTTTTTTTTTTGAGACAGAGTCTCGCTCTGTCGCCCAGGCTGGAGTGCTGTGGCGCGATCTCAGCTCACTGCAAGCTCTGCCTCCCGGATTCACGCCATTCTCCTGCCTCAGCCTCTCGAGTAGCTGGGACTACAGGCAGCCGCCACCATGCCCAGCTAATTTTTTGTATTTTTTTAGTAGAGACAGGGTTTCACTGTGTTAGCCAGGATGATCTCGATCTCCTGACCTCGTGATCTGCCCACCTCGGCCTCCCACAGTGCTGTGATTACAGGTGTGAACCACTGCGCCCAGCCAAGGTGCTTTGTTTGTTTGTTTGTTTGTTTGTTTTTGAGACGGAGGTTCACTCTTATTGCCCAGGCTGGAATGCATTAGCGCGATCTTGGCTCACTGCAACGTCCATGTTGGTCAGGCTGGTCTTGAACTCCCGACCTCAGGTGATCCGCCCACCTTGGCCTCCCAAAGTGCTGGGATTACAGGCGTGAGCCACTGCTCCAGGCTTTTTTTTTTTTTTTTAGAGAGAGACAGTGTCTCGTTCTGTTGTCCAGGCTGGAGTGCAGTGGTGCATTGGGATCACGGCTCACTGTAGCCTTGACTTCCTGAGCTCAGGTGATGCTTCTACCTCAGCCTCCCAAGTAGCTAGAACTACAGGTTCACATCACCATGCCTAATTTTTTTTTTTTTTTTGAGACAGGGTTTCGCTCTGTCACCCAGGTTGGAGTCCAGTGGCGCAATCTCGGCTCACCGCAACCTCCATCTCCTGGGTTCAAGTGATCCTCCTGTCTCAGCCTCCCAAGTAGCCGAGATTACAGGCGCGCACCACCACTCTCGACTAATTTTCTTGTATTTTTGGTAGGGATGGGGTTTCGCCATGTTGCTCAGGCTGGTGTTGAAGTCCTGGGCTCAAGTAATCTGCCTGCCTTGGCCTCCCAAACTGCTGGGATTACAGGTTTGAGCCACCATGCCGGGCCATGACTAATTTTTTTTTTTTTAAACGGAGTCTCACTCTGCCACCCCAGGCTGAAGTGCAGTGGCACGATCTCGGCTCACTGCAACTTACGCCTCCTGGGTTCAAGTGATTCTCCTGCCCCAGCCTCCCGAGTAGCTAGGACTACAGGCATGCACCACCACACCTGGCTAATTTTTTATATTTTTGGTAGAGATGGGGTTTTACCATGCTGGCCAGCCTGGTCTCAAACTCCTGACTTCAAGTGATCCACCCACCTTGGCCTCCCAAAGTGCTGGGATTACAGGCGTGAGCCACTGCGCCCAGTCTTTTTTTTTTTTTTTTTTTTTT